ACTTTTTGCGAAATTAAACCAGGTAGAACTCCAGCCCATGGAGATATGAAAAGAATTGTTTTGTTTGTTTGAATTCAAGAGGCTTATACGTTTGTTTGTTTTTTAACAATCTTGGCATAATTACTGCTCTGACTGGATCACTCTGTCAGCTAAAGACATGTTTTAGAGTCTTTATACTCCAGTTAACAATTAATCGAATATTAAATTAGTCGATGATAATCTCATTAATCACGATAAAATTTTCTCGATTGATATTTTCAGAAAACATGGGATTGCCTTTCACTGCTATGCAGATGACACACAGATATACTTACCGCTAAAGAATGTAAACTCCACCTCTCTTCGGTCTCTGTTTTTATGTCTTGAAGATGTGAAGGCCTGGGTGGCCCTAAATTTTTTAAAACTCAATGAGGACAAGACGGATGTAATGATCTTTGGCAGATCCACTGCTGATTCTGTGACCAGTCTTGGCTCCTTGGCTCAGTACGTTAAGCCGGTTATTACAAATTTAGGGGTTAAGATGGATGCTGGTCTTAAAATGGAAGCGCACATCAGAGCCGTTATAAAGTCCAGCTTTTTCCACTTAAGGCAGCTAGCAAAAGTAAAACCCATTCTTTCCAGACAGCATTTCGAAACAGTGATCCATGCATTTGTGACCACACGGCTGGATTACTGTAACTCACTTTATACAGGGGTCAGTGACTTGTATATTTCTCATCTTCAGAGGGTTCAAAATGCTGCTGCACGTCTATTAACAGGTACACGAAAATTCGACCACATTTCCCCTGTTTTAGCTTCCTTACACTGGCTGCCAGTACATTTTAGGATTAATTTTAAAATTCTTTTATTTGTTTTTAAAACTCCTAATGGCCTTGCTCCTTCTTATCTGTCTGAGCTGTTACATTCTTATACAACCTCCCGTTCCCTCAGGTCAGCTGATCAGTTGCTTCTGAGGGTCCCAAAGACAAAATGCAAGCTCAGAGGAGACCGTGCTTTTTCTGTGGCAGCTCCTAAGCTGTTGAATGATCTGCCTCTGAGCATAAGACAGGCCTCTTCTCTTGCTGTTTTTAAGTCCCTTCTTAAGACTCATCTTTTTTCCTTGGCTTTTGGCACAATTTGAGAGGTTTTACTTTGTTTTATTCTTTTTGTATACTAATATGTATTTTACACTCGTTTTTTCTCTATTTTATAATTTTATTGTATTTTATGATTGTGTACAGCACTTTGGTCCTGTTCGGTATATAAAGTGCTGCATAAATAAAGTTGGTATGGTATGGTATAGACTTTATTGATCTAACAGTGGAGTATTCACTTGTCACATCTGCTCATTAGTCAAAAGAAGGTTCCGAAATTGTTGTCTTTGGTTTGTGGATTTCAAATTACACATTCAATTCAATTCAATTAAATTCAGTTTATTTATATAGCGCCAAATTCACAACACGTCATCTCAAGGCACTTTACAGTTCAACCAGATCATACAGTCAAATTGATACAAAGTTTCTATCTAAGGAAAACCAGTCGATTGCATTGACTCATTGACTCAAATACAATCCCTCACACTAAGCATACTTGTAGCGACAGTGGAGCGGAAAAACTCCCTTTTAACAGGAAGAAACCTCCAGCAGAACCAGGCTCAGTGTGAGCAGCCATCTGCCGAGGCCGACTGGGGTTCAAGGAGACGGAAGCAGAGACACAAAAAGCAGCTGTAAAAGGCGGCCCCGTCCAGGAAACACACAGCCAGGCAGACGAGCTCCGAGCCAGCTCCCAAGCCAGAGGACGAAGAGAGCACATCCACCCAGTCACAGGACCACACTGGAAAACAGGCCGATCTCCAACATCTATAAACAAGGGTGTTGATGGAAGCAGCACAGCTGATGTTTCTTTCAGGATGACGTCACAGCCAAACAGGAACAGACGAGGCAAAGCTACTCTGAGGAAAAGCAGAGAGAGCAGAAGGTTAGAGATTGAACTAACAGATTCTGCAGAATAGGAGAACAGAGAGAGAATGAAGCAGAATGATGAAATGGGGGTCCCTATGTCCTTCAGAAGTCTAAGCCTATAGCAGCATAACTATAGAGATAGCTCAGGATAAGCTGAGCCACTCTAACTATAAGCTTTATCAAAAAGGAAAGTTTTAAGCCTAGCCTTAAAAGTAGACAGGGTGTCTGCCTCGCGGACTAAAATTGGTAGTTGGTTCCACAGGAGAGGAGTCTGATAACTAAAAGATCTGCCTCCCATTCTATTTTTAGAAATTCTAGGAACCACTAGTAAACCTGCAGATTGAGAGCGAAGTGCTCTGTTAGGAACATAAGGAACAATCAGATCTCTGATATAAGATGGAGCTTGGCCATTTAAGGCTTTATATGTGAGAAGGAGGATTTTAAATTCTATTCTTGATTTAATAGGAAGCCAATGAAGAGAAGCCAGGATAGGAGAGATGTGATCTCTCTTTTTAATTTTCATCAGAACTCTGGCTGCAGCATTTTGGATCAGCTGAAGGATTTTAACTACAGTTTGTGGACTTCCTGATAGTAAAGAATTACAGTAGTCCAGCCTTGAAGTAACACATGCATGGACTCGTCGCTCAGCATCACCCCTGGACAGGAGATTTCTAATTTTTGCAATGTTCCTCAGATGAAAGAAGGAAATTCTAGAAACCTCTTTGATATGGGATTTAAATGACAGGTCCTGATCAAAAATAACACCAAGATTTTTTACTTTATTATCTGAAATCAGTTTAATCCCATCCAAATGAAGTGACTGACTAATCAGCTTCTTTTTCAGAGACTCTGGTCCAAAGACTATAACTTCTGTTTTGTCTGCATTCAGAAGCAGAAAGTTAAGAGTCATCCAGGTTTTTATGTCTTCGAGACATGCCTGTAATCCATGTAATGGGTTAGCTTCATCTGGATTTATAGACAGATATAGCTGGGTATCATTAGCATAACAGTGAAAATTAATCTCATGCTGTCTAATAACTCTACCAATTGGGAGCATGTATAAAGTAAAGAGAATTGGTCCTAGCACTGATCCCTGTGGAACTCCACAGGTAACCTTTGAGCATGTTGAAGATCTATCATTAACATGAACAAACTAAATTCGATCAGATAGATAAGATTTAAACCAGTCTAGTGCTGTTCCTTTAATTCCAACAAAATATTCAAGCCTTTCTAAAAGAATATTATGGTCAACTGTATCAAATGCAGCACTAAGATCCAACAGGACGAGCACAGATACAAGTCCATTATCTGAGGCCATGAGAATATCATTAGTGACTTTCACCAGAGCTGTTTCAGTGCTATGATGAGCTCAAAAGCCAGACTGAAACTCTTCAAAAAGTTCATTATGGTGTAAGTGATCGCAAACTTGTTTGGCAACTACTTTCTCAAGAATTTTGGATAAGAAAGGAAGATTGGATATAGGTCTATAATTAACCAAGTCATCTGGGTCAAGAGACGGTTTCTTAAGCAGAGGTTTAATTACAGCAACCTTAAAAGCTTTAGGTACATATCCCTGTAACAGAGATAGATTAATCACATCTAAAATGGAGGAGGAGATCAAAGGGAATACCTCCTTAAATAACCTGGTTGGATCTGGATCTAACATACAAGTTGAAGGCTTAGACGAAGACAATAATTTTGATAACTCTGAAAGTTCAACTGGATCAAAGCAGTCTAAACCTGGTTCAGATTCCATGACTACCTCAGGTACAATCGCGGATAGAGGAGTGCTTATGATCTTATTTTTAATAAGATCAATCTTATTTATAAAGAATCCCATAAAATCATTGCTGCTAAGAGCAGGTGAAATGGACGGTTCAACAGAGCTATGGCTCTAGGTGAGTTTAGCAACTGTATTAAAAAGAAATCTAGGATTATTCTTATTCTCCTCTATTAATGAGAGTATGCTGCTCTTGCTTTACAAAGGGTCCTCTTATACAGCAGTAAACCATTTTTCCAGACTAGGAAGGACTCCCGCAGGCCTGTGGAGCGATATTTTCTCTCCAGTTTCCTAGCATTTTGCTTCAAAGTACGCAGCTCTGCATTAAACCAAGGAGCAAGCTTTCTATTTTTAACGGTTTTCATTTTCAAAGGAGCTGCGTTGTATAAGGCAGTACGCAGAGAACTAGCAACCCCATCAACAAAATCATCAACCTGTGAAGGGGAATAAGCTATGCTTTTGCACTCTGCAGCACTGCTCAGCGACACAGAGGAGAGAGAAAGTGAAGCAGATTCTTTAAAATGTATAACTGCACTATCTGATAAAGATCTACTAAAATGTAACCTTCTTCTGGGGGAGAAGAACTCTGTTAAAGTAATCCTGAAGGTTATTAGAAAGTGGTCAAAGAGGACAGGGTTGTGAGGAAATACTGTTATTTCTTCACATTCTATGCCGTATGTCAGCACAAGGTCCAAAGTATGAAGATGAGAATGTGTGGACTATTCACATTTTGAACAAAGCCAATAAATAGATAATTCTGTGGGGGGAAAAGGAATTACTTTAGGGTTAGGATTCATTCAGCAATAAAAAAAAAACCTACTGAGCCTACAGGCACAATCTGAAGCACAGCTGTTTACTGTGTAAACTAAGACTAAATCAAACTGAACCCCATGACGATGAGCAGATTCCATGTATTAGAATGTTTTTAGACTTCATTCTCAGCTGCTGGCAGATGATTAACCACCATTCAAAAACTACACCTGTGATGTTAGTGAGGTCATAACAGCCTATGGTAAGCCATTTTTTTTATGTATCACATGAAAACATGTGATCTACAAAACTGAATATGCATTTCTGATATCTGAAAAAAAAAATGTTTCCTTGTCAAAATGATTTCAAACAAAATGACACTCTTCACATCTACAACAAATATTCTGGATGTCTACAAATTAGATTCAGATCTACATAATTTTATTGTTACTGGTTTTCATTAGTATTATTTTGACTATGAAGAAATGTTTTTCCGATATCAGAAATACATAAGTCAAGCTGATAAATTCCAAAACTGTAATTTAGAAAATATATTATTATAATTAAGTTTAGTAGTTTGCTTTTGTTTAGCAACATTTTGTGATGTACAAATGGAACAACAGAGAGGAGAGTGGTTTTAGTAAATGTAATAATGGCCTGCTACAGTACGCTTTCACTGTGTTTATTCCTCTCATCGAGGACAATATTGCCTGATCATATGTAAACATTTGGCCGTTATGTGGCAAAGTAAAATGGGGGGACCAAATATTTCAGGTGTCTATGATATTATGTTCCCCCTCCATAAAATGCAAAGCGATTATTTACCTGCAAGGGTTTCACTGTGTTTAATCAAAAACAATAACCCCTGTTGATATGAAAACTTGCACTCTATGTGCCAAAATTACATGGGGGGAACCAAATATTGTTCAAACCATAAAAAACATTGGAGAGAAAGCTGTGCAGTTAAGAGTTTTTTGAGGAATAGGTGGTCAAAGGTTCCCGCTTTTCTAACATTTATGCTAATTGCAAGGCAGCCTAAGGATAAAGAATTACTACATGTTATACTAGACTGGCCTGATTTGTTCTATGATATTGTATACAAGCATAATGACCAAATTTCTTATTTAATTTAAATGAAATGCAACAACCTTATCAGGAGAAGGAGGTGACTACAGTATCACCGTTAGATTTAATGGAGAAACAACTGTAGAAATCCGTACGGATCTGGAATAAGACTGTGTCCCAACCTGACACTTAATGACGCTCTGTAATCGAGGTACTTTTTCTCCAACACTAGAAAATACTAATGCCTTTGGCATTTAATTTAAATGAATCTTAAACAGCACTGTGTAGGGGTGCTGGACTTATACAGACTCCCGGGTGGAAACCTGTGCGCTCTCTCCAGCTTGACATGGTCCAGTTTAATATCCAGCTGCAGGATCGTGAGAATCCAGGATTACGTAAACTTACTTGGGTTTGTCCCCTACAGCTTCTTTTGGAAGCCAACACTTTCTCAAATTTTTGCATGTCCACTATTTTCAAAGTCTTGGAGCTTCTCGGATAGTTCCTTTATAGTTTTTTCCAAGACTAGCAATGTCTCAGTCCATCTCAATCTCAGAAGAGGCGGCCTCCAATACAAGAAATGTCTTTTTACTCAGAGTACTAATATTGATATTGTGAAACATCTACTCTAGTTTACCATCCATAATAGCTGCTAAATTCTTTGTGCAACGGAAGCCATGCTAGCTTTCGCATCATCGGGATGCCGGGGGTGCATTTTTCTTCTTTACAAATGGTAAGGAAGAATTTTACCCACTGATTTGCTGAGGAATTAGTCTAGGGACATCACATGGGGTGCGAATGTCTGTCTCCTTGAACCCCAGTCGGCTGATTATGTGAATTGGAGCTACAGAAAAAAAGACAATTTTTCGGAAAAAAACAAAAATCAAATCACCCATTACGATCAACTACAAAACAGGATTATGAAATAAAGACATACAGTATGCTTTTAATATATAATCAATACATTTTTGCAATTTGATTTATGTATTGATTCATCTTACAAGTTATTCAATTCAGTTTTCAATTCAGTTTATTTATATAGGGCCAATTCACAACACATGTCATCTCAAGGCACTTTACACTTCAACCAGATCATACAGTCAAATTGATTCAAAGTTTTCTATCTAATTATTCAAACAGTATTACACCTATTTTCATCTTTTTTCAAAATGATTACATATTGGAACATCTGACCTAAATTACACCAGACTACACACACACAAACGCATATGAATTTAAGTCAGGTATCATAATTCAAGAGGTTTATGGTGTGATAGTTTTATTGCTTATGACAAAGTCATCTTTGTCATTAGCAATGAAATTACGATCAGAAATGACAGACAATAAGCAAGAGATTGGTAGGCCTCATAAGCAGACGGAGCGGGGCAGAGGATGCTGAGCCCCATAAGGTGCAGAGGTTGCCAAGTTTTTCTCAAATCCAATCTCTACCAAACTCCAGACTGCTTTGTGAGTTTGTTTTCAGAAGCGTGGCCCCTCAGGACCACGGAAAGAACATCTTCAGACAACCCAATCCTCCCAATGTTGTAGGAACAGTCCAACCAAAAGTAGACTACTTCTTCTTCCAACATGACTGTGGACCAACGCGCAAGGTTTGGTGTACATGAGCCGCGTTGGCATACACAGACTCTAACAGAGCACCTTCTGGATAGATAAGACTAGAGACTGAGAGCCATGTTTTCTCTTTGAATCTCAGTCTATGATGTAAAAATGTAAGAAAAGGGCTGTGCTATATTTATTAGACTTTAATACTACTGCTGTAAGGAGTGGTCCACAGCAGGAGCAGTGTCCCCCTGGGACACTGCTAGAGTGGCCTGCTCCGGTAGAAGGCTTGGGTCAGTTAGGATGGCTGTAGTGGTACTTAGGAGACGGAGTGAACTCAGAACCACTAAGAGAACAAGAGAAATAAAAATAGCATGGGTTAGAGCTTAGTGGACCAAACAAGTTATTAGAGTAGAGGTCTCCGATGGGATTGGCATTGCAGTTGCGACAGACTCACTGGGTCTAAGCGCAGGCAAGGCACAGTGCTGGTCCAACCAGGAGAGAGTGGATCGACACAGGTCTTCTGCACTGGCTGTAGAAACCATTCCATTATAGGACTCGAAGAGAGGCTCGATGATGATGCTGAACTGATACTGAGTTAAAGAAGGACCTGTTTCAGCACCAATGGTTTCATTATTGGCCCAATTTGGTCTAGAAAGCCCACTCTAATTACATAGATCCGGCATGTCAACCAGGATCTCTTTGATAGACTCAAATCTTTCAAACTGATTCTATCCCATTTAACCAAACATTAGATAATTTGTACATGAACAGATATTGAAATATACATAGGTTTAAAGACAGGCAGGCTTAATCTGTCAAAACAAATATAGTCAAAACTTGGAAAATATCTGCTCCTTTTCTATGCTACATTCCAGGTATCCCCTCTTCTACCTATATCATCAAGCATCAACCTGATAACAATGCCCCTTGATTTGGCATTCATAATGCTTCATACACCTTGTAAAGGTTTTTGGACACCTGGATGTCCCTTGTCACTGTTTTTTCAGATTTCGACGAAAAACACCTCATATACAACAGAACTAAATATCTAAATCACAGTGATGCTATTTTAATTAAAGAGCCACATACTGCTGTTAGTTCTGTTTTGTTATGTTTACATTTTAGTATTATTACCACTAATAAGCAGTGTTATATTTTATTAAGGATAAATGTGAAATGTGGTAAATGTGAAATATATAAAATGGTTAATGAAAATCGGGGAAAAATATACTGCTCTGTATCTGGCCCTGTTGGGTTGTTAAGTTATAAAACAATAACCCAAGCTGTTAGAAAAAAGAGCAGAGCCCAGCTGCAAACCCACCAGCTGAACTACTGCTGGATTTGCAGCTGGGCCAGCCCAACAGTTTGGGCAAACTGATGCCCAGTTTATCTGTTGATGAAAACAAAATGAAAAACAATTGAATTTTTACAGCCAAATTAACTGTCCACCATGGCAGTTCAGGTAAGAATTAGTGGAGACCTGTGAGAATTATTGTAATTAAGGATGTATTAAGCACAGGGCAATTATAAAAGAAAGACAAAAAACGAGTCAGCCAAGTATTACAAACCTAAACATTCAGTTTTACAGAGCTACACAGGAATTATTCATGAGTGTGAATGGCCCTGTCAAAAGAAAATGGCTGGATCTAACAGAGGATCCAGGGAAAACTTGAACACTGCTGTCACTGATCCATAACAAGCTGATTGTTTTTGAGCAATGTTGATAAAAACAGAAAAAGAAAAAACAAACAAGAGGGGCCAGATGTTTGAAAGTTCAAAAAAGGGGGAGCTATATTGAGTGCACAATTTTTCTATGGCAAAAAGCGGCAGTGTTGCAGGTGATCTAAAAAGATTGCTGCACAAATGTTGAGACATACAGACAACTTTGCTTTCACTCCATTGAACTTAGCAGATTGCATGGTCTAAGATCAGTTTAAGAGTGTACATAAAAGGAGGATGAAGTTCTAAGCCATGTGGTTGGAGCTAATATTAAAATAATATACATATAGCACTCTACATAGGTAGCCTTTCTAAAAATTGTATAAACCAAAGAAAAATTTAAATGATGAAAATGACTAAAGACAATTATTAAAAAAAATTAACAACTCTCCATCCTTTGCTGTTTTTTTGGCTATAATGATCGCAAATATTTTATTTGTCGGTTTGAAACCTGACTTTCAGAAGCCCTAAAAAAGTAGTTGGGTTTTAGATATGGAAAATTGGTTTCCACATGGTAAATGTTTACATTTGCACATCATTTACCTATGAAAACAGACAGTTTGGTCATTGGAATATGACCTGTATACTGAGGGAGGCATACAGGCAAAAACGTTTGCACACAGTCTGCTTAATTGCAAACGCAAACCACTGTGTACCTTCTGTCAGGACTCGGCCTCGGCCTCTACTGTTTACCTTCACAGGTGTCTGTCGTTCACTGGTGGGCGGGGCACGCACACCTGCAAGTGGTTCAGCAGCACCGGCCCTGCACTATTTGAGCAGTGCACAGACAGCGGGAGGACGCCAGAGTGTTACCATTGCGGTATGCCTGATCGGCCACGGCCTCTCGCCTAACCTACCTTTTCTCTTGCTCATACTCCTGCGTTTGTGTCTCCCAGGTTGTCTCTCGTGAATCATCGTCTCCTCTCGTGGCGGATCCTTCCAGGTCCTCTCAGGAGTATCGAGGTTGGTCACCCAGTCTCTGGGTCCCTGGCCCTCCCCGTTTCTCCCTGGTTCCTCCCGCTGGTTCTGATCCCCGGATTCCCCGGAGGCTGCTCGGACAACTCCACATTCCCCCGCTCTCTGGTCACGCTGACGCCTGTCACATCACCATCAGGCAGCGCCGAGCCCTCACTGCTTCCCTCCCGGTCCGGTGTCCGCGCTCTGTGGTAAGCTCAGCTCCGTAGGTTTTTTCCACCTGACTGTCCGCGGTCTAACCTCTTCTCTTTCCTCCTTAGACGAGACCGGTTTCCTGGCAGCGCTCCAGTTCTTGTAGTTTTTGGTTGACAATCTCTGTGATCTGTTTGACTAAGTGTAAATAAAACCCCTGAGACTGTGCCTGTTTTCCCGAGTGTGTTTCTGCATGTGGGCGCTGCACATAAAGCCAAACATGACAGAAGATCACTCTGGCCAAACAGACCCAGCGAACGCACTCGGTAGGGCGTTAACCGCTCAACAGGACCAGATTCGGGGTTTAGAAGCCACCGTTCTAGGGCTGCAGAGTCAGTTACAGGGCTTTGCAGCTCAGATCAATCAGCTGACTAGCATGCTATTCGCGAGCCCCCAAGCAGCCGCTTCCACGTCCCCGGGCCCCGCCCCCGCGTCAGCGGAGACGTCGTTCTCCACCCCCGAGCCCTCCTCGCCCAGTCCGGAGAGGTTCTCAGGTGACAGCGGAGATTGTGGGGGATTCCTTTTCCAGTGCTCACTCGTTTTTAACCGTTCCCCACGTTTGTACGCCCAGGATCATGTCAAAATTTCTTTTATTTTACGGCTATAAACGGGGAGAGCACTACGATGGGCTGAGTCCCGCTTCCCCGACTGCCAGAGTTTTGGCTGTACATTTGAAGAGTTTTGTCTGAATTTAAGATGGTTTTTGCAGCCGAATCTGATGAGGTGCAGGACTCAAGGCGGGTCTTAGCTCTTCGGCATCGGGGAAGAAGCGTAGCGGATTTTGCCATAGAGTTCCGGACCTTGGAGGCTGCGGCAGGTTGGGAGCAAGGCGCTCTCAAGTCAGTGTTTTTCCAGGCTCTTGACGAGTCTCTTTAGGACGAATTAGCTCGGCTAGAGGAACCTTCCACCTTAAAGGAATAGTACACCCAAAACATGATTAGCCTTCATTTTCTACTCACCCCCATGCTGAACAAAACTCTGGAGTACTTTTTTGATATCTCAAATGCATCTGGAGATCTGGGAGGCTTCTTGCTGTCTGCTGACATTCAAATAATGGAGGTCTATGGCGCCCGAGACAGAAAGGTCCACAAAAGTCCACAAAAACGTGTCAATATTCCTCCATACTGCTCGTCCAATGTAATCCAAGTGTCCTGAGTGGGTAGCATCCAGAATTTACTCGAAACGAAGTCATTTAGAACGTTTTAGAGCCTAAACAGTAGTGTATAGGATTTCCTAATAGCGCCCCCATGCGCGCTCACGATTCTACGGAAGCCGGCAGACCAAACCAGCGCATTCAGCTCGGCAAAGAACTCATGCTCTTCCTCAACACTGAAGTCCTCAGACATTTTTCTTTCGTTGTTTCTTTCTTTGCACAGGTAAACAGCACATTTCTTCTTCTACGCTTGCATTATCGGCAGAGCAGACGCTGAATGCGCACTTTCTTCCGGTTTGGTCTGCCGGCTTCCGTAGAATCGTGAGCGCGCATGGGGGCGCTATTAGGAAATCCTATACACTACTGTTTATGCTCTAAAAACATTCTAAATGACTTCGTTTCGAGTAAATTCTGGATGCTACCCACTCAGGACACTTGGATTACATTGGACGAGCAGTATGGAGGAATATTGACACGTTTTTGTGGACTTTTGTGGACCTTTCTGTCTCGGGCGCCATGGACCTCCATTATTTGAATGTCAGCAGACAGCAAGAAGCCTCCCAGATCTCCAGATGCATTTGAGATATCAAAAAAGTACTCCAGAGTGTTGTTCAGCATGGGGGTGAGTAGAAAATGAAGGCTAATCATGTTTTGGGTGTACTATTCCTTTAAATGATTACATCACCCTAGCGGTTCGTTTAGATAATCGGACTCGGAGCCGAAGTCGTCCAGAGAGAGCCACCTTTAGTCTACTGCTTCAGCCCAATCGAAGCTCCCTCAGACCCGCTGCGGCGCCGCCTTCTCCCCCGGAACCCATGCAGCTGGGCCGGGTGCGACTCACCCCAGAGGAAAGACAGCAGCGCAAGAACTCTAGGTTATGCCTGTATTGCGCCTCACCTGATCATTTTGTTCGAGATTGCCCTGAGCGCCCAAAAGAACTGGTCAGTCGGTCGTAGCGGAGGAACCGGCGGACCAATCTCAGTTACTTCTGTCTTCACCTCCACGGCTCTGTCTCCAGGCTGCAATGGTTTCTGTTCAGCAGACCTTTAAGTTGTCCGCCCTCGTTGATTCAGGGTGCGATTTTAATTTAATCGATCGGACCATTGTCCTACGCGCTCGTCTCGAGACGATGCCTTTGTGCACACCCTTCCAGGTTTCCGCCCTGGACGGTGGGGTTCTCCCTAGAAGAACCTATCGTACTGAGCCTCTTGAACTCATGGTCTCTGGTAACCATAGAGAACGAGTTACATTTTTAGTTTTTCCTATTAAGCATGCTCCGAATGTTCTTGGTTTCCGGTGGTTGCAGATGCATAACCCGCAGATAAACTGGGTCGACCGACGGGTTAATTCTTGGTCAACCAGATGTCATGCTGAATGTCTGCAATCTGCTGAACCGCCTAGTCCGCCTCCTTAACTGTCCTGTGCTCAGGTTGATCCTGAGAACTTGAAACTGGTGCCTGAGCAGTATCATGACCTCAAGCAGGTTTTCAGTAAGACCCTGGCCTGCCCGCTTCCGCCACATCGCCCATACGATTGCGCCATCGAACTTCTGCCGGGTGCCCCGCTGCCGACCAGCCGTCTCTATAATATTTCTCGGGCCGAACGTCAGACGTTAGAGAAATATATCAAAGAGTCTCTCGCAGCTGGACTTATCCGCCCGTCGTCTTCGCCTCTCGGTGCGGGGTTTTTCTTCGTTTCCAAGAAGGACGGCTCCCTCGTCCTCCCTCGTCCTCACACGATAACTGTAAAGAATAAATACCCTCTGCCGCTCCTCTCCTCCACCCTTGAGTCCAGTCTGCCACCTTCTTCACTAAGTTAGATTTACGTAGCGCTTACCACTTAGTGCGGATCCGCCGGGGGGATGAGTGGAAGACGGCCTTCAAGACACCCCTTGGTCACTTCGAATATCAGGTCATGCCCTTTGGCCTGTGCAACGCTCCTGCTGTCTTCCAGGCTCTGGTCAATGATGTTATCCGTGACTTTCTCAACATCTTTGTCTTCGTGTACATAGATGACATCCTCATTTACTCCCGCACCCTCTCCGAACATATACATCACGTTCGCCTAGCTTCCGGAGAACAGGTTGTTTGTCAAGGCGGAGAAATGCGAGTTTCACAAGCACTCTGTCACCTTTCTCTGACTCATCCTGGAGGGGGGGCAGGTCCGATCGGACCCCGAGAAGATTAAGGCCGTGCTCAACTGGCCTGTACCAGAGACCAGGAGGGAGTTACAACGTTTTCTTGGTTTTGCTAACTTTAACCGGCGCTTTATCAGGGGGTACAGTCAGATCGCAGCTCCCCTCCGCGCTCTTACTTCTGTCAAGGTCCCCTTCGTTTGGAACCCCGAGGCTAACAGAGCCTTCACCGATCTTAAGAGAAGATTCTCGCAAGCACCCATCCTCATTCACCCTGACCCTGCAAAACAATTCACCGTTGAAATTGACGCTTCTGACTCTGGGGTAGGGGCGGTGTTGTGCCAGTGCTCGGACCTGGACGAGAAGCTTCATCCCTGCGCCTTTTTCTCTCAGCGTCTGACCCCGGCAGAGCGTAACTATGATGTTGGGGACAGGGAGCTCCTGGCCATTAAGCTCGCCCTGGAAGAGTGGCGCCATTGGCTAGAGGGGTCCGAGCAGCCCGTGTTAATTTGGAGCGACCACAAGAATCAGGCCTACCTCCAGTCTGCCAAATGTTTGAACCCTAGACAGGCCTGCTGGTCCCTTTTATTCTCCCGCTTCAACTTAACAATCTCCTACCGCCCTGGCTCAAAGAACCTGAAACCTGACGCCCTGTCTCGCCTCTATGCTCCCCCCGACTCTGATAAGGAACCAGTTCCATCCTACCTCCCTCTTGTGTTTTCGGTGCCCTCCAGTGGGAGATAAAGGACATGATTTCACAAGCTCAACGTTCTGACCCAGATCCAGGCAATGGCCCGGTTAACGCACCTATGTTCCCACCTCTGTACGTTCCCGAGTCATCCAGTGGGCCCACTCTGAGAAATTCTCTGCTCACCCAGGCATCCTTAGAACCCTCAAGTTTCTCTCCCGACGTCTCTGGTGGCCCACCATCTCCCAAGACACCAAACAATTTGTCCAATCTTGTCCTTTTTGTGCCCAGAACAAGTCCTCCAACAGACCTCCTGCAGGCCTCCTCCAGCCCTTACCTGTTCCCGAGCGCCCTTGGTCCGACATAGCCCTCGATTTTGTGACCGGCCTCCCTCCTTCACAAGGTATGACCACCATCCTCACTGTTGTAGACCGTTTTTCCAAGGCCTGCCATCTCATCCCCCTTAGAAAACTCCCCTCAGCCCTCCAGATGGCCCAGCTCCTAGTAAAACATGTTTTTCGTCTGCACGGCATCCCGCAGGACATACTGTCTGACCGTGGTCCTCAATTCATCTCGCGGGTTTGGAAGGAATTTGCCAGGGCCCTTGGGGCCCGGTACACCCTTACCTCCGGTTACCACCCGCAGACCAACGGTCAGACAGAGCGATTGAACCGGGAGCTGGAGACGGCCCTCCGTTGTCTCACGTCCAATAACCCCTCTGACTGGAGCAAGTACCTTCCCTCGGTGGAGTAAGCACACAATAGTCACATCTCCACAGCTACTGGCAGGTCCCCCTTCGAGGTCTCCCTTGGTTACCAACCCCCGCTACTCCCCGAGGATAACAGACAGATCGCCATCCCTACTGTTAACCACCACATCCTTCGTTGTAGGCAGTTCTGGAACCAAACCATCCAAGCACTCAAACAGACTGCCGAACAGAACCGCAGATTCACCGACCGGAGGCGGCGCCCTGCCCCCAGTTACCATCCCGGTCAGCGAGTCTGGCTCTCCACCCGAGACATTCCCTCCCGGGCCACCTGTCGGAAACTGTCTCCCCGTTTTAACGGCCCCTATGAGATCATCTCCATTGTTAGTCCCTCGACCGTCCGCCTCCGTCTTCCAGCTCACTCTGTCTTCCATCCCAACTTCCACGTGTCCCTCCGGCTGAACCCCCTCCGCCAACCCAGGATCACCACGGACGTCAGGTCCAACGGATCGTGGCCTCCCGTCCCAGAGGCAGAGGTTTTCAGAACCTCGTCGACTGGGTGGGTTGCGGTCCTGAGGATTGGTCCTGACTTCCTGGCTCCTCCATCCCGGATCAGTCCCTGATCGACTCCTTCCTGTCCTTCCGTCCCTCGTGCTCGCCAGGAGGCGACCGTTGAGGGGGGGGTGGTGTCAGGACTCGGCCTCTACTGTTTACCTTCACAGGTGTCTGTCGTTGACTGGTGGGCGGGGCATGCACACCTGCAAGTGGTTCAGCAGCACCGGCCCTGCACTATTTGAGCAGCGCACAGACAGCGGGAGGACGCCAGAGTGTTACCACTGCAGTATGCCTGATCGGCCACGGTCTCTCGCCTAACCTACCATTTCTCTTGCTCATACTCCTGCGTTTGTGTCTCCCAGGTTCTCTCTCGTGAATCATCGTCTCCTCTCGTGGCGGATCCTTCCAGGTCCTCTCAGGAGTATCGAGGTTGGTCACCCAGTCTCTGGGTCCCTGGCCCCCCTGTTTCTCCCTGGTTCCTCCCGCTGGTTCTGATCCCCAGATTCCCCGGAGGCTGCTCGGACAACTCCACATTCCCCCGCTCTCTGGTCACGCTGACACCTGTCACATCACCATCAGACAGCGCCAAGTCCTCACTGCTTCCCTCCCGGTCCGGTGTCCGCGCTCTGTGGTAAGCTCAGCTCCGTAGGTTTTTTCCACCTGACTCTCCGCGGTAACCTCTTCTCTTTCCTCCTTAGACGAGACCGGTTTCCTGGCAGCGCTCCAGTTCTTGTAGTTTTTGGTTGACATAATCTAAGTGATCTGTTTGACTAAGTGTAAATAAAACCCCTGAGACTGTACCTGTTTTCCTGAGTGTGTTTCTGCATGTGGGCGCGGCACATAAAGCCAAACATGACACCTTCTTTAAAAATTTGCAAGGTAAAGTAAAAGCAAAAGTTACATTTATATTTTTAGTAATTTATTGCATTTTGAGCGTTTTGAGCAGCAGGCGCAGCGCGTCTGAGCAGCTGAAGCAGCGCGTCGGGAGCGTTTAAGCATCTGACGCGCGTGACGCGTCGCAAACGCGCTGCTGCTCGAGATGGAAAAATTTAACTTTTGCTGCTCGATGCGCCGCGTCAACCAATCAAAGAAACTTGATCAGGGAGCTGGCCGTGAGACACACACATCGCTGATGATACAGAGCGCTGTGATCACCCCTCTGAAACAGTTTATTGATGCCTAAATAGACTTAGACTTAGACTTAGACTTCTTTATTTGTCATTTTGTATGCACAGGGTGCATACAGAACGAAATTGCGTTACATACAGCTTATGAACGTTGCATTGATATTTCAAATGGCACGAGTTATAGAAAAATACAAAAAGTGCAGCAGTGGTCAAAGTGTGAACAGTGCAGAGGATAAGAGACAGTGTGCAAGTTGCAGTGGTTCAGTGCAAAATGGCATTTGTGCAAAAAATGCGTTATTGAAAAATACAATGAGATGAACAATTTAAAGGGCTAAAAGTTAAAAGTTCAGCAGCATTTGATGCCCGATAATGTGCAATAGGTGCAGAGTTCGGATTGTGGATCAAAGGTTCAACAGTCTGATGGCAGTGGGGAAGAAGCTGTTGCACAACCTGGTGGATCTGCAGCGGATGCTGCGGAACCTCTTTCCAGAGGGCAGCAGGGAGAACAGTCCATGGTGGGGGTGTGAGGGGTCTTTGATGATATTACGGGCTCGGGACACACAGCGCTGTGATGAAAGCACACAGCGCTGTGATGAAAGCACACAGCGCTGTGATGAAAACACACAGCGCTGTGATGAAAACACACAGCGCTGTGATGAAAACACACAGCGCTGTGATGAAAAGTCGGAGCTGTATGCCAGCCGCTGCCGCCAGGGGCGCCGCCATTTTAAATGAACTTAAAATGCAGAATCTGCCGGCAGAATATGTTCGCTTTTATTATCCTGATGCCTGCAGTTTGGATTCTTTAGATGAAAAACACCTACCAGCCGCCGAGGTGAACTGCGAAGCAAGACCAGCAAAGCTGCTTTAGCCGCACGTCAGAACTAACTGGTACAAGCAGCAAAAATTAAGCAGCAGACGCAATTTTGCTGCTCCTGCTGCGTCCGGTGGGAACGTAGCATAAACCTCACACTGGCAGTCTACTGCTCCCCGGGCTCCACACAATGGCAGCCCACTGCTTGCCAAGGGGATGGGTTAAATGCTGAGGTAAATTTCTACAGTGTGAGATCAATAAAGTTTCAATTATTATTATTAAATTTCAACCTATTATGTTACCAGTGGATTGTATTTATCTGTAATTTATTTATTTATTTAATTTTATTTATTAATTAATTAATTAATTTATTTATTTATGTCTAATCATGTCACGAATGGTACACCGTACTCAAAGGGTTTGGGAGTTAAAGAAGGTTTTTACACACATAAGGATACAATCCAGAACTTCCAGTTTTGTAAAGTTTGAGCCCGGACGTACTCTCTGAACTTTTGCCTCATGTAGTCAAATCGTTGCCGCGTGATGGGAACACCTGTGGCTGGAAGCTGCTGCTGGCAAACACTGTGCAAAACACAAACAAAGACATAATCAGTCAACAGAGCACATAAATGCATCTTCATGGTGCTGTACAGTCTTGAAAGAAACTTTGTAATCCTGGTGGATTTCTCTGAAGTTAATGTCTGACTTGATGGAAGAGTTCAGGTGCTGTATTTCCTCCCTGAGTCGCTGAACCTCCTCATGCAGTTGAGCTCTCTCCTGCTGCATCTTGCTGATATACTCTGCCGTCTTCTGCAAGGTCGTGGCTTTGCTGATCTGTGAGATTAAAACGCATAAAGTACACCGTTTTACTATTTACAATTTTTCATTCGCTTCCACCTTTTAATACCTTTATCTGTTTGGTGTACCTTTATACTTGGCTGAGAGCTGAGTGTGGTTACAAGGTTTTGTAAAGTGTCAAACCCCAGTTTTATGTTGAAACGTCTCTTTTGCTCCGCAGATATGTGAGTGATTCTCCTAGTCTCTGTTTGCTATAGAGAGGCAGAAAGGGGTTTAGAGATCGAATTTAAAACTCATGTTCCCATAAACCACTTACATTTGTCCTTTAACAAAGTTGTATATAAAATAAGGCTGCTGTAAAAACAAATATCACTATCTTTAAAAGAAAGTTCACAAATTGACATACGTAAAAGTAGTTTTACACATTATAAAAGAAATATCAACAAAATATTTCTATTTTGCATGTTGGTAGAATTTTTCCTTATTTAACCCTTAAAATGAGATTGGTTGGGCATAAATAAATAAAAAAAATCTTACTAGAATGAAAAAACTAAATTAGGATACCTTGGTAGATTCCAGCTTTCCTTGTCCTAAAAAGGCAGAATGTGGAAACTTGGGGTTGGAGTCTTTGTCTGCAGGGTTAGGTGGAGCTAGTTGGCCTGGATCAGCCCTAAATTGAACTAACAAGAGAAATACATATATATACAAATATATATATATATATATATATATATATATATATACATACATATTAATTCATATATCTAGCTTCAAAACATAAATATTTTGAAGATTTCTATTATAAACACTGAAATATCGCCAGAATAAAACATACATGGTTTACTGATATGTAACAAAACCAGCCTGCAACACAGGCTAGGTTTTTTTTTTGTTTTTTTTTGCATTTCCTAAACTCAGCTGCTGTTAACATTTAAAAATTCAGCAATGCAGTAAGAGATTATCCATTTTTAACTGTAATGTTTACCAGTCAAGCTGCTCATTTCTGTGGCATAGAGTGGAACGGGTGATAGCTTCTCTTTCTTGGGAATGAGCAGGGCTGTGGGGATGTTTGTAGACCCATGGGCAAGGACAGCAGACATGGCTGAGCCTCTAGAGGAGCTGGCATGGGATCCACTGTGGCTAAGCATAGGGGTCATCGGTTTAGGCCAACCAGGTCCATGATGAAGTGTTGAGGCTGCTCCGCCAACTTGGGGTTCCCTTCCCATCTGCTGAATGCAAAGTTCATAAGCTTTAATGTGAGAAAAAGAAGACCAGAGTACATGCATTTGGTATTTTTTCCTTGACCTTACCCCTGACTCACTGACTGACAAACATGTGTGCAGTGCCTAGAAAGGCTAACAGAAAGGACAGGAAATGCTAAATATTAAAAAAACACCAGCTCATACTGTGTCCTAACAAACTAAGATACAAGAAGCAGCATGTGGCTCTTTGGACCCTCTACATAGGCTCTTACTGTGGCAATAAATGATATGTAGACCTGTAATGTACTATGCAACTTATTAGTTAATACAAAT